GTAAAATTATAACCATTTGAGAAGTTCTACATATTGCATTCTACAATGACAATAGGAAAACCAATATAGGAGTGGTGCTAAGTTTGACCACTATAGAATCTCCTGACTTAACTATATAAGTTTCCCTCCTTTTCACATTGACACATTTTTTGTGGATAATTAGGGTGCGTATAGTAACATTTATGTTCCTGAGAACAATTTTTGTTCATAAATAGTTTTTTTCTATTTCTATTTCCTGGACGAATTTCTGAGCAGAAAAACGCGGTTGGTAAGTGCACAAAATTTCTATTCTCAAAATAGAAAAAGAACAGAAAAGCGTTTGGTATGACCCTAAATTTTTTTGTGACGTAGAATTGTTTTTAGTTTTTTAATAATTTTATGAGATTTTTCTAATTTTTTCTTTTCTTTTTTTCCTCCCTTCTTCTTCCTCCTCTAGTTGGTTGCCGGGTCTCGGCGATAGCCAGTGACCAGCTAGAGACAAGGGCCAGCGAGGGTCGACCTCGCCCAGCCACGGCAAGGCCCAACAAGCGGCTAGAGGAGGAAAAAGAAGAAAGGAAAAAAAAAGAAAAAAAATGACCTTGTTCTAGAAATTGTTCCTAGGAATAAAAAAAGTATATTTCTTTTTACTTTTTGTTTCCATTACAAATCTATTCCCTTGTCACTTTTCTATTTCGGTGAATATAAAAATTAATTGACGTATATAAACAGATTTCTATTCTATTTCTATTCAAGGGAACATAAGAACAGAAAAATAGGGAAATAGAAATGTTACCAAACGTGCCCTTGCTATGTCAAGATATACAATAATTTACTTAAATTAATCTAGCATAAAGTTTCAATAATCTTTGGTAAGGAAGCAAGTGGTTGCACAATACTTCCCAACAAGAGAACTCATATCCGCTCTGTCCTTGCGCCTTCACCATGCTAACAAGGTGTTCGACAAAACGCCGGGGAGAAGAATAGATTGAGATTCTCGTTTCCTTTTTTCCTCTCGGTCGCATACCCGACGCCATTCCAGCGTCATTTCCTCTTTCGGCTTGCTCATTTTTTGATTTGGACCAGGCAAGTTCGGTTTTATTTTTGTCCTTCATTGTCCTTTAGATGATGTAAGAAAACTGACTCAATCTGATATCTGCTGAATCGAGTAGGACACCTGTCATTTGATGCTTAGTTGTCTATTTTCTGTAGTAGCGGTGACCTTCAAGCTGAGGAACATAAACAGTTCCTGTTTGTACGAGCCTTTGTCTTGGATGTGTATATTACCTCTGTTTGCATTGATGTCTCTGTTCGCAGCTCCTTTTACCTGGAAATTAGGCATAAGAAAAATCAGGAGAGAGAGAGAAAGCGCTTCGAACATTTACGCACAAAATCAGGAGAGCCATAAGAAAAAAAAATAGCCCTCGTGATCTCTCTTTCTCATCTCTTCAGTAGTGACATCCTCTTCGTCCATGGCAGTCACCATATTCATCATCACCAGCCGACTCTGAATCCAAATTTACGAGCGATCATATTTCTATTTAAATCTATTACTGTACGGTTCCCTTTTTGTTTCTTCTTTATATGGTAAGAAACAAACTTGTTTTTTCCATCCAAAATGGAAAAAAAACTCAGATCCAAAGATGGAAAAAATTATTTTGCTAGAAGCATGGTCAAAAGGTATTTATGCTTATCTTTAGATCATATCTCAATATTACTGAAACATAAACACAAAAAGAAAAAGAAAAGGGCATTATTTTTCCGTTCTACTTCTACCATGAGGAAAGCAATTAATATCGATCATACATTTATATCTCATGGCAAGTGGACCAAAACTTTAGGAAATGCTTAAAAGTTTCGCGTGAAATGATGAGATGTGAATTTGAAAGTGAAGAAGGTGTAACTAGAGTTTCAACCTCCATTTTGCAATTTAGACAAAGAAATGTGTAAAAAACTCAAAGGAAAGCACAAATAAGCAATTTTTTAACTAGAGAAACCTACAAATTTATTCGGGCAAAGGACCCACAAGATCAAGAGCGATTAGATTAAAATCTAATTTTCAACTTTGAAATTTAGTTGTCTGATTATTTGAATAAAAATATACAATTAATTGTGTATTCATAAGCCATCACAGATAGAAGTTTCTAATATTCTACATAGCCTTTAGGGAAAATTCCATTTTGGTACCTCAAGTGGAAGCGTTTTCTCAATTTGGTACCCAAAGTGGACACGGTGTCAAATAAGGGCATGAAGTGCCCAATCAGTCTCAAATAAGGACCCGAAGTACCCAAAAAGTCTCAAATAAGGGTATGGGTCGCCGGTCGGCCAAAATGCCTGCCGGTCGGCAAAAATGTTACTGTTCTGGTACCAGAACAGTAACTTTTTTATTATTTTTTCTTTTCTATTTTTTTTTCTTTTCCTTTTCCTTTTCTTTTTTTTTTCTTCTCTTCCTCCGCCGGCCATAGCCGGGGTCGGCGGAGGTCGCCGGCGAGGTCAAGCCTCGCCAGATCTGGCGAGGGCTCGGCCCCGCCGGCCGCTGGCGAGGCTCGAACTCGCCGGCGTCGGGCGTGGCCGGTCTCGCCATTGCAGGGCGAGGTTGGCCTCGCCTAGCAACGGCGAGGTCGAGCCTCGCTGGCCGTTGGCAAGGCTTGACCTTGCCGGCGTCGGGGGAGGCCGGTCTCTCCCGACGCCGGCGAAGTCGAGCCTCGCCGGCAACTGGCGAGGTTGGCCTCGCCTAGTAACGGTGAGGTCGAGCCTGGCCAGATCTGGCGAGGGCTCGACCTCGCCGGCCATTGGCGAGGCTCGACCTCGTCGGCGTCGAGTGAGGTCGGTCTCGCTTGAGCCCTCGCCAGGCTCGACCTTGCCGGCAACTGGCGAGGCTGACCTCGCCTAGCCCAGGCGAGGCTGGCCCTCGCCCGACGCCGGCGAGGGCCGCCTCCGCCTGAGGCGGGCGACCTTCGCCAACCCCGGCTATGGCTGGCGGAGGAAGAGAAGAAAAAAAAAAGAAAAGGAAAAGGAAAAGGAAAAAAAAAAACAGAAAAGGAAAACACAGAAAGGAAAAAATAATAAAAAAGTTACTGTTTCGATGCCGGAACAATAACATTCTTGCTGGCTGGCAGGCATTTTGGCCAGCCCGCGACCCAGGCCCTTATTTGAGACTTTTTAGACATTTTGGGTCCTTATTTGAGACTGATTGGATACTTCAGGCCCTTATTTGACACTGTGTCCACTTTGGGTACCAAATTGAGAAAACGCTTCCATTTGGGGTACCAAAATGGAATTTTCCCTAGCCTTTATGATTCCAAAGATGAGACCATGAATGAAACCTCTATGGTAATGCTAAAGATACCATCGAATCATAAGGATGATCAATTATACAATTTGATAATGTACAATTATTACCAGTAAGAGAATAATTCAAGTAAAGTCAACAAGTACACTGAAAAGTTTCACTAATCTTAAATCTAGATAGTTTAATGCAAATGTAAATTTAATTAGAGAGTTGTATAATCAACTAAAATCAAAGTAAAATCCCGGCATAACATTGCAATTACGCAATTAATATTGAAGTTAAAAAAAGTGCATTTACCGACATGAACCACGATATTAGAAATTCATGAGGTCGACAACCCCGAGTGTACTAAAATTTTTACACAATCATCTCCAAAAAGAAAAGCAAGACTCCAATAGTTAACAAAAAAAAATCTTGATGACTAGAATCTCTAGCCACATCACCTAAACAAATAGATAATTGAGATGCATATTAAAAATTATGTTCGAAATTATAGTCATATTATTTGTTAAATATATTGTCACGCAATGTTCAGCAAAAAGTTTAATACCATCATGAACAGTAAGGTATAGCCTTTGCCTGCCAATGGGCATTGAGACTATCGCATAAGAATACCTAACCAAATGAAAAAGAAAGGCAATATCTAATTTCATGAATTCAGGAAATGCATTGACAAAATACGGAAAAAGAATATATTGATAATACCCAATTGAAGTGTAAGCAACAAAAATAATACTATAAAGAGTACCTAATTATCAAAATCAATCTATCTATGGTTATAATATAGAAAAGCAAAAGGAAAAAACTTCGATTAGATATTCTTTGCAAGGTCGTTAAAGAAAAAAGGATTTGGGGAGACCATCCAATATGAAACATACAGATTTTTTTTTTTTTGATAACCGAGGTGTCCGCGCGGCCGGCGAGCTAGGGCTCAAACCGGCGGTGATGCCCGACTAGTCCTCGAGGGGGGCTAGCGCAGCATCCCACCGCCACGACCCCCCACTTAAATCACCAATAGGCGAGTTTGAACCCAGGACCTCTCGTGAAAGGAACTGAGCGCAAACCAACGCGACCACCGATGGGTGGGTGAAACATACAGATTTTTCAACCCTTTTAAAATGAACTTAACTGTTGCAAGATTCCTTGGAAGATCAAATTGTTCCTGCTAAAATATGATTATTGGGTATGAAAGAAAGTTTCCGTCGAACAAAAGAAAGTAATCAGACGGGACCCCTTTCTTGTGTTAACGGTAACTTGGGAGGCAAAGAAAGGGATTAATTCCCAGGTTTCCTTGTAGTGTCGACATAAGAAAGGAATGTTCCTCTTTTCTTTCTCTATATGATGTGCGACGAGGATAAATGTAGGCAGCACTCAAGAACCGTTTCTTCACTACTTCTTCTCTTGTTGCTTGCATTTCATTCAGGCTTGCTGCTGTCAAATTCGGTCCTTTGGTATCACCCATACTCCTGGTACTTTCGCTCTCGGTTATTTTCACCATGCGTGCATCGGTTTATTGTTTTATGAACTACAGGATCACTTCCAACCAAAAAAAAAGAACTACAGGATCACTTCCAACCAAAAAAAAAGAACTACAGGATCACTTCCGACCAAAACAAAGAACTATAGGATCACTGATTTGTTTTCACCAGCATTTTCATTGCCTTTGCAAGCATGTTAGAAGAGTAAACACTCGAAGCACGTAAAATCTTAGACAAACCAATCACGGACCTTGGAACCGTTTCTTCACTGCTTCTTATCTTGTTGCTTGCATTTCATTCAGGCTCGCTGCTGTCAAATTCGGTCCTTCGGTATCACCCATACTCCTGGTAATTTCACTCTCGGTTATTTTCACCATGCGTGCATTGGTTTATTGTTTTGAACTATAGGATCAGTGATTTGTTTTCGCCAGCATTTTCATTGCCTTCAAGAACATGTTAGACGAGTAAACACTCGAAGCACGTAAAATCTTAGACAAACCAATCACGGACCTCGGACCCGACCACGGTGGGTCCCACATGCATATTGATTTAGGCCTCATCTTGTAATGTGCGTAGAGGATGAGAATTCCTATCTTCAACAACTCAAGTTGGTCCACCTCCTGCGGTGGATTTCAAGCTCTACACTTTCTCAAGCATCAGCAAAACAATTAAAGGCTTATTTTTGTTTTAATTTTTTTAATTTAGTCTCGTTTCTGATGCAATGCTCATGGGAAATAACCTGTAACAAGTCCCTGATAATGATATTTGTTAGTAAATTTAGGAAATTGTATAAAGGAATAATATATTTATGAAATATGAAACAAACCCTACACGAGAATTCATTGAAGTATGCAAAAGGGATTGTAGAGAAAATTTCATTAAGAAATAATGATTAACACCGTTCCTATTACTGATGGGAGGATGAGCGTGTTGCAATTTAACAAAAGTAGATACATGACATGCATAATAAATTATGCAGAAGAAGACTAGTCATACTTCGTATGAAAAACAAACGATTATAAGCATATTAAAATAAATAGTTGTTCCATTTTTTATATGTAAAAAGAATAATAAACGTTGTTGAAATGTTTTGAATTTGAATCTAGATAAAGGAAATAAGAACAGCCTGTCTATAAGTCATTAATAGAAAAGGCAAAAATAACTTTAGATTAAAAGATAGTGGCAAGGTAATCGTATGATTAAACACTAAATTCAGCAAAGATTTTATTGTGTATATTGAATAGAGCTCAATAAGAAGAAGAATGTGATAAGGGATAGAAATAAGAGCCAGACTTAAAAGACGAGAGATGACTTGTCTCATAGTAATTGTTAAAGAAAAGCTATAAATTTGAATTGAGTGAAGAATTCCAAGCTAATCAATATGATTATAATAGGAAACTGAAAAAGTAAGAGATTTTATACATATTGTATATGCTAGAAAAAGCGATGGGTATGTCCGTCATATTGCCCCTGCATAGGAATATTTTTAAAATCTAAATATAGGATTTATTTTCTCGAGACCTAAATATAGGATTTTTTTTTTGGTTGAACTAAATATAGGATTTTACATTGCATAAATCTGCAAGTTTTGGAATTGCCTAGTATGGGAAGAAATCTTTAAGGCAGTTTTTATTTATTTATTTCGAGAATAGGAAACAATAAAGGAACACAAAAAAATGTAGAAGCATTCATTCATGGGAAGCAAATAATTTCGAGAGATTAGCAAGGAGAGTGAACTTCCCTGATCAACTATATTGTTTTAGTAAAATAATAGCAACAAAGTCACGTGACAATATGAAGGAGAGTTTTGAATTGAGAGGTGAAGTGTTGGCATCAGAATGTAAACAAATCCATTATGTTACCTAAGCATAGAACTTTCTATTTTCACATAAAGAATCCCTATTATAATTACACACACACTTATATATATATATCAATAACTAGTTAATCGTAGCTCACATCTTAGACTACCTGAATCAAAGTAAACTAATATTTCCTAGGTTTATATCGTAAACTTTGTTACCAACTTTGTCATCCATTAAATCCATCCAAGAGTATAAAGAATGATAGGTCATCTTTTTGACAAAAAGGTAAAGAATGAAGCCTTTGAAAAAATAGAAGTGTCCTTGCGAGCATCGGATGCGACCTCAGTGGGTCCTCATGTTTTATTTAGACTTGCGTGGATGATCAGAATTCCTACCTATAATAGGTAAAGTCGGTCATAGAAGTTGATAATAGATTAGTCAGGCTTTCGATTTACCAGTCTCAGGTGAGCATCAGCCTTAACTTGTTATACATGTCGTGAGAAGTCTCTAGCCTTGGACCGACTAGACTAATATCTTCCTATCCACAGAGAGACAGAGAGAACAAAAATGGCGGAAGCTGTCATCGTTGGTATTGCTGGAAAGATCGTTGCTAATCTAGTTCCTGAAGCGATAGAAAAGGTTGGAATGTTATGGGGCGTCAAGCATGAACTCGAGGCGCTCGGAGACACCGTCTCCACTCTTCAGGTTGTACTAGACCATGCAGAAGAGCAATACCACCAGAGTCCACAAATCCAAGTTTGGGTTGACAGACTGAAAGAAGCTTTCTATGATGCACAGTACGTGCTTGAAGAATTCAATATAGAAGCTATGCGACGAGAATTGAGGGGCCACAATGAAATGATGAAGGAGGTAAGAACATTTTTCTCAAGTTCAAACCAGCTTGCTTTTAAAGTGAAGATGAGTTACAAACTAAGAGCAGTGAGGGAGAGAATAGAAGCCATTAAGGCTTATAAGAAATTCCACTTGGACGAACGCCCCAAGAGAGATTGGGGGAAGAGAGAAGAGACGCATTCGTTTATACGTGAAGGAGATATTAAAGGCAGAGATGAGGACAAAAGGACAGTTATAAAATTTTTATTGGATTCAAACGTGAATGAGAACGTTTCCATCCTTCCAATAGTTGGCATTGGTGGGCTTGGAAAAACGGCACTTGCTCAATGTGTCTATAATGATGAGATGGTTATTAAACATTTTCACTTGAAATTGTGGGTTTGTGTCTCCAATGACTTTGACATAAACAAAATAGTGAAAAATATCATAGCTTGTGCAAAGAACAAAGAACTAACTGAAGTTGCGATCGAACAATTGCAAAGTGAACTAAGAACAATAATTGATGGAAAGAGATATCTCTTAGTTTTAGATGATGTGTGGACTACGAAACGAGAAACATGGCTAAAGTTGAAAACTTTATTGATGGGAGGTGCTCGAGGAAGCAAGATCCTCATAACCACACGCCTTCCTTTGGTTGCGGAGATCACCCGCACTACTCTAGCTCATTATCTCAAGGGCTTATCTGACAGTGCATCTCTTGATTTACTAATGCAAATGGCTTGTCGAAAAGAAGAGACGATACAAGATCCTGAAATGCTAGCTATCGGCGAAGCTATAGTTAGAAAGTGCTATGGGGTTCCATTGGTTATTCGAACTGTTGGGAGTATACTATTCATTAAGAAAACTAAACCCGAATGGTCGCATTTCAAAGATTATGAGCTCCCAGATGTGTCTCAAAGGGACGAAGACATAAAATCTATTCTTAGGCTAAGTTACGACCATCTTCCTTCACATTTGAAGCAATGTTTCGCGTTTTGTTCATTGTTTCCCAAAGATTATCAGATAAAGAAGCAAACTTTGGTCGATCTTTGGATGGCAGAAGGATTTATCCAGCAATCAGATAGAAGTCAGCATTTAGAAGACATTGCTCATGGATATTTCATGAAACTACTTTGGAGTAACTTCTTCCAAGATTATCAAGAAGATAAGGGGACTTGCAAGATGCATGATTTGATGCATGATCTAGCATGCTTGGTTGCAGGGACTGAGTGTTGGGCGGCATGCGATGACAAAAAATCCATACATAAGAGAACTCGTCACATATCATATGGTTCAACTTTCAATTTGAAGGGTGAACTTCAAATCACACGCGTGCAAGCAAGTGCACTGAGAACATTTCTATGTGTTGCTAGTGATACGAAAATGAAACCAGCGAGTGAAGTAGATCTACACCAACTCATTCAAAGTTTCAAGAGGTTGCGTGTCTTGGCTCTGCATACCACATATGTCGAGAAGGTGTCAAGGTCGATTTGTAAGTTGAAGTATCTTACATATCTCGATCTCTCTTACAATGAAGCACTCAAAAGGCTTCCTAACTCCATTACAAAATTGCAGAATTTGCAAACACTTAATCTCTGCGGTTGTAGTGCCCTTGAAGAATTGCCAAGGGGTATAAGGAAGTTAGTCAGCCTTCGAAATCTAGACATAGGTGGTTGTTTACAACTAAGTTATGTACCACATGGACTAGGGCAATTGAGTTCTCTGCATAGGCTAACACGCTTCATTTTGCCCAAAGATAAAGCTCTTGCTAAGGATTGTTGCGAACTTGGGGAGCTAAATGGGCTTAATGACATCCGGGGAAGCCTTAGAATTGAGAATTTGGGAAGTGTGACAGATGTCGAAGCAGAATCCAAGGCTGCGAACTTGATAGGGAAGCGGTCTCTAGAATCTTTGGCACTTGAATGGGGTTATTTCAATACCGATGATGTCGCAAATAGAGACGAAGCTCTATTAGGTGGATTGCCGCCGCACTCAAGTCTGCAGAAGTTGGCGATCAACGGATATAACGGTGAGATTTTTCCAAGTTGGATGATGGATAGCCTCGTGTCTTCCTTGCCCAATTTAGTTGAGGTATGCTTTTTCAATTGTGCAAGATGTAAAGGTCTCCCTCCACTAGGCCAACTACCTCACCTCAAGACTTTAGATATTCGGGAGCTGACTGAATTGGAATACATCGAGTTAGGCCATTCATCCACTTCAATAGCATCATTTCCGAGTCTATTGAAATTAAAGATCATTAGCTGTATGAAATTGAAAGCCATGCCACCAGCTCCACATCTCAAGGAGTTAATGCTGAGTAATGCCAACCCAGCATTGATAAATATGATAGTTGGCCTTAATAAGTTGAAGATTCTGGATATCTGGATGATGGAGTCTCTAGAATGTGTGCCCATGGAGTGCTGGAAAAGTTTCGCCTCGCTCGAATCTCTTAGCATATGGGATTGTCCTCAGTTGACTTCCCTCTCAACACCACCACCATTGGGTACGCGGCATCAATCCAACCTGGTGGATCTCGATTCTTCGAATTCTGAGGAGCTGGATTTATCCAATCACGACGAAAGCAGCAGCGGCAACAACAACCACCTCATCTTGGAACTTCACAGTCTCCGCTCCGTGAATCTCTGGAAACTTCCAAAACTAGCATCTCTCCCGCAGTGGCTTCTCCAGCTCAGCAATCTCCAGCATCTCTCTATTATGGATTGTAAAGAGCTGGATTTATGCAAAGACGAAAGCGGCAACAACAACAACCTCATCTTGGATTTCCATGGAGGACTCCATCAGAGTCTTCGGTCCCTGTATATCGAACGCCTTCCCAAACTAGCATCTCTCCCGCAGTGGCTTCTACAGCTCCGCAATCTCGAGCGTCTCACAATTTGGGGTTGCGACAATTTGAAGGAATTACCAGAGCAGATCGAGGCCCTTCAATCACTTCAGCGGCTTGTCATCCACGATAGCCCCTCGTTGACGTCATTACCTGAAGGAATGCGAAAGCTTGCATCCCTTACTCACCTAAGAATCGCATATTGCCCAGAATTGAAGAAGATGTGCAAAAGAGATGCAGGCGAGGACTGGTACAAGATCGCTCATATCCCCGACATAGAACTTGGATGATGTTAGATCGAGCCCTAATTTTCTTTACTGAAGGTATGTGGGGGCACCTTGTTTCCCAAATTTTACATGAACAATTTTCGAATACAATGCCACTGAGTTCAGCATCATCGTTAATGCTTTTTACAGGTTTTTGATTTTGGATTGTTGGTGCCTCTAGAGAATTTCTTTGCTTTGTCCTTGCTCCTGATCGTAGTTCACTACTTCTGTTCGGCGTCATATGAATTTGTTTTGTATCTTTTGATTGGGCTCATTGCTTGATCTGGTGAAGATGAGCTAAGTTTGTTGATTTGGCTCCTCAAACTGGACTCGCAGCTCGAAAACTATTATGATGTGTGGTCGGTGGCTGCTATTTCAATAGCATTTTGGTTTGGATCATCATGCTCTGTATTTCAGAAGCGGTACTTTGTCATCTCAGTTTATCCCTCTATTTTTGGGCTAGAATCGAATTCAAGTGGGCGAACACTACGCCGCCCGATCTCTAAGCTTATACCTCTATCGAAACCGGTGTGTGTAAAATTGTTCGTGGCAATTGACCTCGCTGTTTATGCTTCAAAAATGCAATTTTTTCCCACTTGAAACTAGTCTTCAAAATGCGGTTTCATGAGATTAAGCTTAGGGTAAAGGTGTTAAAACTTGCTAAAGAGACCCTTTCTTTGAAGTATTCCAGTCCATTCTTTTATCTTTTCAAAACTAAACTCTCGTGCATGCCAGAAGGCCAGGTCATACAAATAGAGCTCGTCGTTTGAACTATCTTCCATGAGATTAAGCTCCCTTGTTATTTTTGGCTTCAGTAGATATGTCTATCACTCACATTGGCTTATTTTTCAGACTAGGCAGAAATGGCACAGATTTTTGCACCGACGACGTAATGCCAGATAAGGATCACAAAGAACTCACTGACTGCCAGTCCCATGACAGGAAACACATGGATTTCTCTCTTGCTAAAACAGAAGAAGAGTGGAAACACCAAGAGCTTTTCTTAGTTCATCTTCAGGGTGTATGCTTTGAAGTCCGAGAACAATACTAGTACATGCTCGAGAGTCTTCTCAACTTGGACGTCACGCCCTACACCAATACAATAATTGCATAATACATTTGGTATGTTTTCATGCTTAAAACCTTTGAGTGTGGTGCACAAAAAGATGAACAATACTAGAACTATTATGTACTCACCGAAGAATCGCAGGTTGCCCAAAATTGGAGGAGAGGTGCCACAAAGATGCAGGCGACGACTGTTACAAGATATCTCATATCCTGCGGACAGAGTTGATAAAGTTATCTATCAACGCTACATGATTCGATTGGGGGACATGGACAGATCGCTGATAGGTTTGGACATTGCTTTAATCTCGAACATGCGAGAAAAATGAAGAAAATTCGTTCTTTTCTTCTTCCAACTCCGAGATTGTTAAATCTGCCTCATGACTCATGCTGTAGATATAGTGTGCAATCTGCTTATTTGATTTCACAAGGAGCAAAATGCCTGCACAGTTCTGGAAAACTCTCATAGATGAAGTGATGAAATGTTTCTCTGTTGAACGGCTTCTGGTTTGCTTCCCTTGAACGGAGGTTCTGACATAGATCTGCGTAGCAACTCAAGGGTATGATTGGTGACAATAAAATATGTCGTGTTTTTCATTTTTACACGCTACATGCTACTGATCTATTAATTCCTGAAATTAGGCAATCCCTAGACCTGCTGAGCACCCATTTGAACTTCCAAAGTGGAATTACTATGGATCAAGTACCGGTCAAGCTCCAGGGGAGGATAGAGAAGTGATCTTATAGTTAGCATTTGACAGCATTTGACATTCTTGATTTGCTTCTTAGCCATTCTGCAGAGGTTCTCAGGTAAATCCTTTACCAATTTTTAGCGACATCTTAAGCAATTGAGTAAATATTTGACATTAAAAGAGGTCTTATCACAGTTAGAGTGGGAGTCTAATCTATGACTTCTTCATTTTGATCACTGCAAGGTTGTCCTGTTCAGTTTGTTTGGTTGACAATTGACATGGACTTCATCTCTTTGTGACAACAATGTCTACAAAAGAAATGTGTGGTGTGTGAGGCAGAATGAATGATCGAAGCAGTAGTCATTGTTGTCGTTTCTTTTCATGAATAAATCAATCACCACCAATTTTAAGTCTATGTTGTGGACCTCATGTGGAATCGATTTCTCTTGTATCCACTCGTCTCAGATTTTTCTTGTTCTGTGACTTCAAGTCCTCATAGTGATAATTGCTGTGTTCGGTAGTCTTGCTCTGCCATGGCGATATCTGATGGATATTTTTGCCAAAGTGATTAGTAAGGGTACTTTGCAATTATGCCAAGTTTGTGAAAGAAGAAACAACTTCAATGTGATTGCCTTTTGATTGCGAGAGGAAAGAATTAGTTGCACTGTCAAAATTCACGAGTTGATCATCCATTATATCTAATGAAATATCAGAATAACATGTTTGCTGATTGATCCTTGGCAAGGTGGAATTTCATTAATCTCTTAAACTGTTGCACTCTGCAGTCTGCTTACTTCAACTATGTAACTGTCCTCAGTTTTTTATATGTTCACGAGCTCATTTTTGGGAATGAGGCCTGAGAATAACCTTGAAATGATTCCAAAAGGAGAAGTATTGTTATGTCGCTGTGTTTAGTCAATTTTTCAAGGAGAATGTGGTATCATCCTTAGGGCAATCAATAAGACTCGCTATTTATGCTTCAACATGTAAGGTTTCCTACTTGAAATTGGTCTTCAAAAAAACGGTTTTATACTTTTCAGTGCAGGCACTTGCGAAAGAGACCCTTTCTTTGAAGTACCAGTCTATTCTTTTTATCATTTCAAAACTAAGCTCTCTCATGCATACTAGAAGGCCAAGTCATACAAATAGAGCTCGTTGTTTGAATTATCGTCCATGAGATTAAGCTCCTAGGTTTTTTGTTTAAGTAGATTTGTCTATTACTCACACTGCCTTATTTTTCATACTAGGCAGAAATGGCGCAAATTTTGGCACCGACGACACAATGCCAGATGAGGATCACAAAGAACTCATTGATGGCCAATCCCATGACAGCAAACACATGGATTTCTCTCTTTGCTAAAACAGAAGAAGAGTGTAAACACCAAGAGCTTTTCTAAGTTCAGGGTGTATGCTTTGAAGTCCAAGAACAATACTATTACAGGCTTGAGAGTCTTCTCAACTTGGACGCAATGCCCTACACCATTACGATGATTGTTGAATACATTTGGTATGTTTTAATGCCTAAAACCATTAAGTGTGTTGCACAAAAAGATGAACAATACTAGAACTATTCTGTACTGAGATTACAAGTTCGCATTTTTCTTCGATCTGCCATCTGAATAAGTATGTCATGTTATATGCACATTCAACAACTGATACCTTTTCTTTTTTTTTTCTTTCAATTTTTGCATTAGCGAATCTTATTTCACATTTTGATGTTAGTCTAACTATGAGTCAGGATCGGAGTTACCGGCATAGATTTGCACAGCACATCAAGGGTATGAATAGCAACAATAAAATATGTAGGGTTCTTCTTTTTGCATGCTACATGCTACTGATCTATTGATTCCTGAATAATCAGTTGATCCCTAGAGCTGTTGAGTATGGATCAAGTACTGGTCAAGCTCCAGGGGAGGATAGTGAAGTGATCTAATCGTAAGATGACATAAACCAAAAACTCTCGTACTATATTTACCTTCACATCATTCCATCAAGTTCTTGATTTTTTTACAGCCCTCCAGCAATTTTCAAGGATCCTTTCTGAGGCAGCAACAATATCATGGTAATCATCCACGAATAAGTATTATGTTGTCAAAAATTGTTCATCCATCAGATCATCTGAACAGGTTGATCAAACGAGAAAGGACGTTTCAATTAGTTTACGAAGAATTATTGTTCGTCTGTAGGTTTTTTGTAATTTATACATACCAGCTGGCGAGCTGATCCCCGCGAACAAACGTGCCAGGGTTGCTGAAATTGTCAGTAACCCGAAGGTTATCAATGAAGTTTCATGGTGGGAAATCCAAAAGCATGAGTTTTCTATTGTGAATTAGAAATTTTTGAAATAGACAAGTTCATGGCTTTTGCTAAATGTTCATATTAGGTATGGGATTGAGCAAGCAAACACCCTACTGCAGACAAATGTTCAATGGCCATTGGGTTGGCCTGCTGGAGGATATCCAGGTCCCTAAGTGAGAAATTGTTTCCCAATGAATTTCCCAATATATTGATGGATTATAGGCTAAGTTGATGAGAAAATTTGTATTATGATGTGAGGTTTTATGTTCATTTAGGGGCCTTATTACTGTGGTGTTGGGGCCGTTAAGTCATTCGGCCGAGACATATCCGATGCTCACTACAAGGCTTGCTTATATGCCGGTATCAACATCAGCGGCACCAATGGAGAGGTGATGCCTGGCCGGGTAATATCTTACCCCCATCTTGCCTGTTTTTTTTACATAAAGGAAAAAGAAAGAAAGAAAGAAGCACATAACTGTTGCCATCAACACTGGCTTCTATTGTGTAGTGAGAATACCAAGTAGGACCAAACGTGGGAATTGAAGCCGGAGATCATCTATGGTGTTCAAGATACCTTCTTGAGGTGAAATTTCAAGTACTTGCTCAAGAAAATAATGGAATGCCATTAACGACAAACAGAGTAAGTGCATACAGACACGTTCTACAGTATTCAAATACTTGATCATTTATGTTGCTTATATAATAGAGAACAACTAAGCAAGCTGGTTTTGTCCTCACGTTAGATTTGAAGCTGATAGAGGTAGCTAACTTCACCATCACCATTTACTCAATATAATAACCCAAAGTTGATAAAAACATTCCCTTCCTTCTCAATGTGACTGGAATGGTGCAGGATGCCACACTATGGGTTCACACCATAGAAAAAACGTGGACTTGGTTAAGTATTTTTGTTCAAAGAAGGACTTTAAAGAGCGTGTCCCCGTCTTTTCTGCAATACAAAAAGCATGAGAGAAGAGGGAGGCTTTGAAGTGATAAAGAAGGCAATTCTAAATCTCTCACTTCGCCACGAGGAGCACATTAGCACCTATGGAGAAGGAAATGAGAGAAGGTTGACAGGAAGCATGAAATAACCAACATCGACATATTTTCTTGGGTAATGCTCAGAAGAAGCATGCCAGCTATTGGTCAAATTCGAAGATTGCACTGTTAATGACCTCAAATTTTGTTGTGATGCCTGAATTACTTGAATTGTTATGCAGGGAGTTGCCAATCATGGTTGCTCAATCCGTATGGGCCGTGACACTAAGAAGCAAGGAAAAGGTACTATAACAATGACCATACCAGTTCCTTTTGTGCTCTGTCTGAATATCAATCAGAGATGCTCAACTTTGATAGATAAATCCATAAACACTACCATGAGAAAATAATAGACATATACATATACATATATATATATATATATATATATGAGTATTCTTTATCCTTCTTGGTCTCAGTTGATTCTATCCTTGCTACTATGCAAGGAATTTTTACTTTTTGCAATCATAAAGCATTCCCACAATTTTGCTTCCTAAACCGAAGTTGAGACTTGGACATCTCTATTCTTTTAGTGCCTCAAAATACTTTCTGGAATGGTTCAGTATTTCTGAATATCAATAAAATATACAAAGTTCACCTTCATTGCTTAGTTAGTTAACAGCTTAAAATGATATACAGGTTACTTGGAAGATAGACGTCCTGCCTCAAACGTGGACCCATACGTTGTGACCTCGTTACTTGCTGAAACTACAATTTTATGGGAGCGCACCATCGAGGCTGCAGCTCTTGCTGCTCGGAAGCTAGCATTTGAAGGTCTAAAATTCAAGCTGTTAGTTAAGAAAGGTCAAATACATTAATTAAATCAACGGAGACCTCCAAGCTGAGATACTATGAACCGCTTTTCCTTCATATTTAGGTCATTGAGAGAAGATCCTCGTGTAAATAAAGCTTCCTAGAGGGAGAGAAAATTAGATGTCGAAGCTCGGACCTGGTCTCCTTTACATTGGTTTCATCCTGCATTGCATTTGCAAGTAGTTTCACCGTTTTGGGCATTTGAGTTCACCATTACCTGTCAGTGTCGTGAACATCTTCCTATCTTTGTATTTTGAGTTACTTCGACATTTTAGCGTAATTCATCAAAATTTTCAATGTCCTCATATACTGAATTCATTCAATTTGGTATGTCCAATTTTCTTTTGAATAAAAGGCACTTTGACTTTTGATTCAGTAAACATGAGATGCATAGTTTCATCTCTTCCAGTGTCTTATTGAGAGAACTTTTGGGGAGTAAAAACAGAATGCAATTCTCGGTGTCGCGCAGTTTGGCCGTGCAACTTGGCAAGTTCTTTTTATTTGCGAGGCAAAGAAATGTTCTCATCGACATGGAAAGTGCAGTACAACCATAGAAACGGCAATTTGGCAGTACCTACCAATTTGCTTCTAGAGAATTGAATGTTACTCTAAGGTCCTTTTTCTTTTCACCTCCTCACACCAATTCAACCGTCTTATTCAACAGTAGAACAAATAACTAATAATGATACTGATGATAACTTATCAATCATTCATATCTAGCATGTAGCAAAATTCAAGAAGCAAGATAGGTGTTTCTGTTGACATAATGATGAGAAGACATGCTGGTTGGACTTCCTCGGCGATTCTAGGGTCCGGTTAAGGGAAAATCTGAAAAATTTTCTGCAATTAATAGATTTATGAAATTACTGATAAATTTCTAATAATGTTGATAAAAAAAAAAGTGACTGGTAACTCGAATGTTGTCATGACCCTTCCGAGAGGAACCCCCAAGGAGGTTTGATGGTATTG